TAGAAACTAATCACAGTAAGAACACACCAAAGATCTGGAATCAAATTGTTTTTCACCAGTGAACTCTAAATAAATACAAGAAAAGCAGATCTGGAGTTGGGGTTCAACAGCCAACTGTCTACAGTCGTCTTACTGTCATGGCTGAAAACTGTCCATCTGGATTAAATAAGAACCTATCAGGAGGTTGGAGACCATAACTCCCTTCATCAGACATTCAACACATTTATTTACAATCTGGAGAAAGGATTCCTCACAATTCACACTCTCACTGACTTTAAAACTGGTATCCAACTGGCCTGTGACTGGTCGTGACAAAATCTCAACATTTGTCTCTAAATATTTATGAAGGTTCTCACTTTCCTTGCATGAGTTGCAGGATCTTGTTGTTTAAATTTCAATACTTGCAGACAGATTGAGACATACTTATGACACTGGGACTAAAATGGAATGAGATCATTTTCTCTGCCGTCACATATAATTTGAAAATCTATCAAATGCATCAAATGATGCATAAATAGATAAAACCTCTTTCCAACAAGTCAACCGTCCCACTTCTTTGTGACACGTTCAAATATAAAACGACTTAACTCGAACCCATTGACTTGTACAACTACTGACTCGATCATCAGTTGTAGCAACTTTTATTTGCTCAATCACCCGAATATATTTTCAAACAAATGGGTGAGAATTTCTTTTAAACTGCTTTGGTTGTATAGCCATGGTGCTTTATTAATCACTTCTGTAACTTGAGTTTAGAGACTAGATCTAATTTGCCATTTCTTTTGTTGGGTTTTAGCTCAGACTTCTTGTTTGCAAATGTCAGCTCTCTTAATCCTAAACATGGAGTGTTGCCGGACAACGATGAGAGGACGATAAATGCTTATGGTCCATTTTTAATGTTTGGCAGGAATAAATTCTCATTGAAGCACCACAAAACTCTCTACAAACATCTGCTTACACTTAAAACTTGTTTAAAACGTTGAAGTGGACATTTGGTTAAATTCTGGAACTGCTTGCATGTGTTTTTCTGTTACATGCAATGCACATTTGTGTCAGCATGAATGAGTGACTGTCCTTAGGGGTTGTCTCTACCACGACACTAGCATGACCTCCCAGGAAACTTGTCAACCCAGCAGGCTGAGCGCTGACCGCTCTCAAACAGCTGTTGGAGGAAAGCGAGCTGGCCTTGGGCCTTTTAACTCTAGAGCCGCCCCGGGCTGCTTTATTACTGACAGAATTGACATGAACGTAATAAACTGCATCAGCACACAGCTGCTCTTTTAAGTCAGTTGCATTGTGCACATATTCCAAAACCATATAATACACAAAACAAATGGAGACAAGATGGAAAAATATTGTTTGTTAATATCGGCCCAGTTTTATTTCTCAAACCGATACCGATATGTTAAAAAATGACTAACATCGTCCGATACCGATATTGATGCCGATATATTGTTCATCCCTAATTTTCACCAACAGCCATGAAATAAGGAGGGCTGGAAATAAATACTGATGGTCCATCTCTTCTGGAAGGGGGCTAAATAGTTTGTCACTCAGCCCCGTGACTTGTTAGGACCATCGGGCTGTGTCCACATTCTTAGCCCTAGTTGGCTCCCAGTGTGACCCTTTCTGGGCTGCCTCTGCCCAGGGGTGGACTGGGACCAAAATTTGGCCCTGGCATTTTTATGAACCGTTGGCCCTCGGCAGGGGAGGTTGCTGCTCGCGACTCGTCTATCCCGCCAAATGTGGGGGAGGGAAGGGGTGTTGTGTGTGCTGCTCGCGGACTTGTCTCTATAACCGCATGTGAGACGGGGGCTTGGTTTGGGACAGCCCAAGCTGGGCAAGTGGCCCACTTGGCTGAGCGGCCCACCGGGACAGGGCCAGAATGCCAGATAGGCCAGTCCACCCCTGCCCCTGCCTCTGATGTTTGAAGTGTTTGTAGATAGGATCTCATGGCACACTTGTGGAAAAGAGAGTATCAGATTTGGTAACCTCAGGGTGTCTTCTCTGTCTTTTGTGAAACTTGTGTTTCTGTTTCGTGTGCACTGGAGGAGTTTGCAGCCAATCGTGACACAGCTACGGTCCAGTTCATATGGGAAGAAAATTTTGCTGTTTTTTGTCCCCATTCTCCCCTTCACACAATCTTATGGATGTGACTGATGTCATTATTGCTCACAAAATAATTTGATCAAATATTCCAGCCGTGTGTGGCGTGTTAAGCGTGCTCTGGTCTGCTTGGACAAACACTGGGACTGCTTCCGCTTTGAATCGGGGTTTTAAAACATGTTTTCTTGTCTTTTCTTGCTATCGAGGTCCAACAAGTGTACTGCCTTTTTGAATTTGACATGTAGCCAATCAGAAGAATGAGAATTACATTGATATGTTATCTCCACTAATAGCACAAGCCTGAATGTATTCAAGGTTGTTGAGTTGCTACCTTTTCAACGTGCTTGATATGCAACTGGCCGATCATATTCCAAAAAGAAAAGCATTAAACGGTTTGTCAACGAACGAGACCTTCACGGTCTCATAACAAGGTTCTGAGCCGGATCAAAGGTGGAGTGCCCTCAACAGGTCTGGAGTGTAAGCAGCATGTAACATAATAGATGTCAGTAGTGGTTTTAGGCACGGGCAGACAGGGCAGTTGCCCGGGGCGGCATTTTTTCATGACACAAAAGGGGCGCACAAGCGCTGAGTATAAAAAAAAAAAGGAAATCTGCGCCGCACCGAGGTTTTCTATTATCTGTCATATGACAGTGTCTGGATTGGAAACAGCAAGTTGGCGCCCCCTGCAGCTGCAGGCGCTCCTGCTGACTGAGAACGTTCACGTGCACCGTGTGTCTATGAAGAACAGGAAGGGGAGGGGTGCGGCGGGGGAATTCACCTCTGCGTCTTTCCCAAATGAAATGAGCTAGGGGCTGAATCAACTGTATTAACATGGCTAAATTCAATCACATCTAGATGTTCTTCCATATTTCATTCATAATATCATAAACACAGGCCTATCATTCTTTCAGGTTTCTCTGAATTGTGTGAAATGGCCGAATAAAAAAAGGAAAAACAAAACGATTTTGTGGTCACCCCCCCATCAAGGTCAAATAGTTTAGTCCTGACTAAAGGAAACTTACGGAGTCAAGAGCCAAACAGAAGAGATGAACATAAAAAGGCTAAAACCACCAGGTGCCCCATTCAGGGGGGAAAAAAAAGAAAAAAGAGGAGAAAGATAAAGGTATGTAGCTCTCATGATGCATGTTTTCAATTTTTTGAACCAGTTAACTGGGATTTTAACGGTTAAATGCGGTCAACTAATTGCTAACAGAGCTAATAGGGCTGAAATATTGAAACGAATATTCAAATGGTTCGAAAAAAGTCCTTGAATCGTTTTTTACTGATTCAAACTAGGATTTGTTAAATGCTCACTGCAGCCTGTGGCCTGCCTGAACAACAACAAACACATGTTGATCATGTTCACATAATAAATAAAACAACTCTACAAGCAGAAGAAAACACCCCAGTCACCACTAACTATCCTGTTTATTTATTGCAGATGGCTGCACTGACTATTTTTTACATGATTTGTTCTGTAAAAGTTGGTATTTTTGGTAGTCTAGAGTTTTTTTTATGTCAGTTTAAATTACAATTTCAGAGGCAATTCTAAAATATTATGGATCATGAGATCTATTGGAGATCTACCCCAACTTTTGGACTGCTCTGCCAGTTACTGTGGCTCAAGCTGAGAGGAGCTTTTCAAAACTTGATCAAGTCATACCTGAGGTCACCTATGTTTCAGGGGCGGCTCACTAACCTGGCTCTGATTAGTATCAATCACTCAGTAGGGGAGCAGATTTCATGTGATGACATTATTGATGACGTTGCATCAAGGTTAGGTTTTAATTTTAGTTTGTGTTTTCTGTTGTAAGTGCAATGCTGTAGTGATTATCTTTAGTTTGTTATGTGTGAAATATTTTTGCTATTTAGAATATTTATTATATATTATGTTCATATATTCTTAATATTTAGTTATTGTTTGTTTTTGTATATTTGATTCTATATATTTTGATACAGTATATAATCTATAGTGCTTTACATTCTGACAACTTCATAGTAATTAATATAAATATGTGCAACTTAGAAAAATGAATGTTCAATAGTCATTCTAATAAAACATGCCTGTTTGTAGAAAACATGTGTGTGTTCATGCAGGTGGGGTGGTGTGGTGGTGGTGGTGGTGGGGGGGGCGGTTGGGGGGGGGGGTGCGCTCAAAGGGGGCCTCGCCCGGGGAGTAATTCGATGTAGAACCGCCACTGATAGATGTGTTTCACGGAGCAGCCATAGCCAAATGGGTGGTGCATTTGTTTGCCAATCCATAGGTCGATGGTTCAAATCCCACCCTAGTAGGGACCGAGGCTTCCTTGGACAAGATGCCAATCCCCTCCCAATTTGCCCTTAAATAAAAAAATATAGATGTGTTTTACCCGTGAGCTCCCTTCCAACCAGGAGCCTTTCAGATGTGAAACTGCAGCAGGAGCTTTCTACTCAGTGGGTCTCGCGAGGTTACGACAAAACGGGAGAATTTCAACACCCAGCATGACTTTGGCAATTCATACAATAACAATATGGCAGCATGTATAGAGAAATGTCTGTGGTTTATTTTTGGTTTCGTGTGCCTCGGCTACAGAGATTTCACAGGAAAAAAACTTATGTTTTTTAATTTAACAACTGGAAATCTTCTAACTTTTATTTAGAAAGTTTCCAGATGCTTTACAATGGTTTGGTGTCTGACTTCCTTTCCATCCCAATCTAATGGAGTTTAACGCGGTCTGGAGGTGTAGTGCATAAAAAATAAACTCGAAGCTTCTGGGATGCTTAGAAAACATTATGTTTCCAGGCCAGTGAAAAAGTGCCCAACCACTAGAACGGTGGCTAATTGTGCAGCACTAGGAATTGGTCCTAGAAATACGAGACAATGTGACCACATAGTGACATGCAACATTACTTACACTGCTTCTCCAAAGCCCCTGCCTCTACGGAAAGCAGCACACACCTGGGTTAAGTTCCTGCATGAACCTTGACAGGTCGATGTATGACGTTTCAGCTCACCTATGTTTAGAGAGATTAGATAAAATATCAGCTGGGATCTACCACTTAAACATTAACGCTCCAGGGACACCAGTGCAACATAAAGCAGCCCAGGATGTTGTGGTGCAATGCAGCAGGAAAAGTGTAAGTTTGTGTGCAGCCAGATGATGGGACACAATCTGCCTGAGGGCATGAAAGCATCTGTGCACCAAGACAAAGAGAAGCGTCTGGGCACTCAGCAGTTTTGTTACCACTTCAACTGTACCCACACACGTTTATGCACCTGCACCAAAGTAAAGTAGAGATTAAACCACTTTTTTTTTAATCTTGTATTGGAGCTCACCTTAAAAGTTCTAGCATAATCTGTTTGGTCTTTCTGGTTTACTTATGGGACATCAGTGGGCAATTCCCATCCCATAACTGGAAGGTTGCGAGATCAAGTCCTACTCACTCTGTCGCAGTCATTGTGTCCTTGGGCAAGACACTTGCCTGCCAGTGGTGGTCTGAGGGACCGGTGGCACCCCAGGGCAGCTGAGACTATGTTGTAGCTCATCACCACCAGACAAATGGTAAATGTGTGTGAATGACTGGTTGTGTTGTAAGGAGCCTTGGAGGTTCTAGAGCTCTAGAATGGTCTGTAACTGGTAAGCAGCTTGTATTTGTATAGTGCCTTCTTAGAGTTCTACATCCCCCCAAGGCGCTTCACAACACAATCACCGATTCACACACACATTCACACGCTGGTGATGATGAGCTACAATGTAGCCACAGCTGCCCTTGGGTGCGCTAACAGAGCGGAGGCCTGACATACACTGGCACCACCGGTCCCTCCGACCACCACCAGCTGGCAAGGTGGGTTAAGTGTCTTGGCCAAGGGCACAACAGCAGCTTTCTCTGGCGGAAGCCAGGATCGAACCTGCAACCTTCCGATTAATGGACAACCCGCTCAAACTCCTGAGCTACTGCTGCCTAGAAGGCGCTGCACAAATAAAAGCAACTTCCTATTCCTCCTATTCTTGTATGTTGTTGTTGTTTCTAATATTTTTGTAACGCCAAAAACTTTTGTCATTCAGATTTTATTCTACTAACATTATTTCAGTTTTTCTCTCAAAGTTTAGAAATTCTTCTTGACATATTTTCAATCTGACCAGTGAAACTAAAAATTCTTTTTGCACGCCTTTTTACCTTTTTAACAGCCTCATAGGTGTCTAAGGTTGTTTGAATTTATCCATTTAAAAAATAATTTATGTTTTTCATACAAACTTTTACAATGCTACTAATTTTAGCTGCAGAATTGAGCGTGTCCTTTTTTACTCACAATAAAAACATCTGATTATCCAGGTCACTCACACACCCAAGGCGTCAAAATATGACGCGTGTGACCAAGCCTCAGTATATGACGAATCGGGGCGCCCCAGCATGTCAGGAGACGACGATCAGGGACACGCTAGGTCACGTGGCTCCACTGTTTGACGCGCGCGGTCACACGGACATTATTCCACTTTTCAACCTTCCCCTCACCCCAATCCTAACCTTAAGGCCCATAAACTGTGACCTTAAGGTTAGGATTGGGGTGAGGGGAAGGTTAAGCAGTTCACAAGTAGTTCTAATGTCCATCTCACCACCAGCGTCAGATACCTGGGACGCCACGTGACACAGCGTGTCCCTGATCTTCGTCTTCTGACGCGCTGGGGCGTCCCGATTCGTCATATATTGAGGCTTGGTCACACGCGCCATATTTTGTCGCCTTGGGTGTGAGAATGTGTTGGATTATCCGCCCTTTGGTAGATTATTTTGAAACCTTTCAGAAAATATAATTTTTAAGTGGCACAGCTAATTGTGATTCAGGTGACTGATGAACATCATCATTTGCTTCCAGACTATTTGTCCCAAATGGATGAAAAAAAAAAAAAGAAAACAAGTCAACCTGCGGCTGTGAGAGAAGTTAAGATGTTGTATAAAGATGAATGATGTCTCACAACAGTCAGTCCAGTCTGGGTTTAATCTTTTCTTTGTAACTGTCAGTATCTCTTCACCCTTTCTACCTCCTCCTCCTCGTCCTCCTCCTCCCGTCTCGTCTCTGATCCAAATGCCCCAAAAGTTTCAAAGCCATCGACTCGGCAGCAGAGGAGAATACCAGACATTGGCCTCTTCTGTTGACATTTCTTTATTCACGATAGGCAATTCGTTTGTCGTCTTATGTTAATGACCATTTGTGCTGACATTTGCAAAGTCTTTCAAAGTGGTCTGAGCTACAGTTGGAAGTCCAACCGTATCTTTTTGTGAGCCGACACACATAAAGCCCTCCCCCATGAGACGTGGCTCGTCTTCGTCCTCCGGCTTGGCTCCAGGGGCGCCTCCAGAAAATTTTGATAGGGGTGGCCAGACGGGGCCAAAAAAATGTTTGGGGTGGCATTGCGCCTTTATTCGTTTTATTAAAAATAACACTACGTATCCAAAACACTTAATTAAATATTACAAGCACAAACATTTTAGAAAAATACATTTCAGGTATTTAAAATGTTTTTTTAATAATTTAAAATGTCCCAAATTTAATTAAATTTTTTTTTGTTTAATTCACCTGTTGCTGTGTTAAAAAAACCTTTGGAGATAAACGGTGAGCAGCGTATTTTTTTTTATTCTGACTATTTCTTCACTCATTAATTGTAATATTTTTATTTTGTTTTACAATTATGTCTTGAATTAACAAGATCAATATATGGTTTCACTGAACATTAATATGATTTATTAACACTGGCTTTTCCTGGGGGTGGGGTGGGGGGTGGGGGTGGGCAGCAATTTTCTGGGGGTGGCCATGGCCACCCCTGGCCACCCCTTGGGGATGCCCTTGCTTGGCTCAGATTGGAGAGTGAAGAGTCAAGTCAAGCCAGTATTGTTTATGACATCCTTTTCTTGTAGCAACACCAAGCCCCCACAATGCAGGTCAAAATTGAGGCAAAGGCGGAAGTGAAATAAATTGCAGTACCACCCTCATCCGCTGGGGGCTGGTGTCAGAAGCGAGCAAATCCTCATTGACTCCCATGTTAAAAAATACCAATTTCACAGCAGAAATAAACATGTTTACAGCCTGGTTCCAAAACATGTTTTTTGTTTAAATTGTCTAGTTTAAACTCATGACAACTCTGAGGGGGTGAATTTTTTTCTCACTCTTCTGTTTAAGTGTATTAAAAGCCTAAAATTCTGTATAATTAATGAGCATCCGACCCACGTGACCGCAGAGCTAGCTCCGGGGAAAGGCCTCAGCCTGAGCCTCGGCGTCAGCCTGAAAACTGTTCTGTCATTTTTAGTCTCTCAACTTAGACCATTAGTTGTAGCGTTTGTGCATTCTTTTTTGGATATAATTTGTGCAACTGTTGGACAAAATGACTTGCTGTGGCGTTAATTGCACCAAAAGAGCGTCCAAGGAGTCTCCACTTAATTTTTTTTCGGTAAGTAAAATTATATTTATGTATTTTAGGTCACTGCCGAGATGAGCTTAGATTTTAACATGTACTGTTTAACCATAAAATTTAAATGTAATAGGGTAAAACCCAGTGCATTTAACATAATGCTGCACTAGAAAATGGGTTGAAATATAACGTGTTGGTGGAGCTGGGTTCCCACTATCGGCTTGTGGAGCTCTCAGGAGACCGATGTTTTCCACCCGTTTCTCCCCTCCCCGCAGCTCGGCGCATCTCTGTCTGATCGCGGCTACTGACTGCTGTGCGGGCTGGCGGCTTGTGGAGCTCTGGGATGGAAACCTGTCCACCCGGTTCTCCCCAGCGGCAGCTCTGCGCATCTCAGATCGCAGTGGCGCTTGTCTGCTGTGCGGCTGCCGGCTTGTGGAGCTCTCGAAGACCTCTGTGTTCCACCCGGTTTTACCCAGCGGTCAGCCCGGCATATCTCTGACTCAGAAGCTCTGGTGTTGTCCACAGTTAACTCCGGTTGTAGCTAGGTTGGTACCTCCGTTAGCTTAGCTCTCACCTCCGCGTTAGCTTTGGGTTAGCTTCAGGTTAGCTTGTAGCTAGTTTGACCGGGTGTCGTCAGTTGATCCCAGCCTTACAGACCCCACCCTCAGCTCCTCCTCTCTTCCCTTTTGTGGAATTGTCTGGGCTTGAAGGTGGTGGCCACCTCCCATTTCTCTTCCAAAATGTGTTATTGGGTCTATTGAAACCTATTGTCCATATATGTATGTCGATGAGCAACACACACACTTTCAACTGTGATGTTGTGATTGAGGTTGTTATGAGAGCGCCCTTAATGGTGTGATTTCAGCAATCAGCAAAATCCCTGTGAGCTCTGAATCAGCAGTCCACAGAGAAGAGAAATGATTTCCTTGCAGTCGTGCAGTCACGGCCTGCTGACGCCATCCAGATACAGTCATTAATCACTCTAAAACACACGTGCAGAGCTACACATTCTGTAAATGCACGCATGCACACACACACACACACACACATACACACACACACACACACACACACACACACACACTGGGAAGCTATACTCGCTCTATACAAAGTCAAATTGGGAAATGATCAGGATGACGAGCGCTCTCTAAGAAAAAATGTAAAAAAGTCTAATCTAAATTCTGTTTTCAAGCAATAAAAAAGCATGAAACTCTGATCTGATTATTGCAACGTACTGGTTGACAGAATGTTAATGTAAGTTAATGTAAGTGGTGTATACGAAACCCTTCAGGCTCTCTGGAGCACTAACATATGGCTGCAGTGAACGTGTACTCATGCATATCATGTGAATAAAGCTACATGCCTAGCTATACAGATGCTACACGAGTCAGGTTTGGGGTTTTCCACAAATAACTCAGAGGCTCCACATATGTTCCACGTATGCAGCTTTGGTGAAACAACGTTGGCTCATGCAAAAACTCAGCTTGAATGAATAAAAAGAGAAAACGAAAAAAGTATGTAGCTTTGTGTTTTGACATAAGCAAAAGCAGATGGATTTCAAGTGTTATGCATTGATCATTTAACACGCTATACGTTACAGATAGGCCAACCGAATGGGACATTTTTTTCCTATATCTAATTTTACTACCGTTGAAATCAGATTTTGTTTCAGTCCAAAGCCAGCCCTCTTTGACATCTTGTTACCAATCTGAAACATGTCTGACGTTTTTCAAGACCACCTCAGTATGAACCATGTTGCGTTTGATCATTGTCCTGTAGTGGACGTCACGTTTCTTCCCCATGGAG